TCTTCCCAATTTACAGATGAAGAAACTGAGGCTCAGAAAGGGAAGTGAGAGTACTGGTCACAGAGGACTCTTACCAGGCTACCTGTTTCTACAGTCTGAGCTGTCCCTCATCCCGGAGGAGGGGGGACACTTCTCTCTACCCACCCACCCCTCACCTTGGGACATAGACTCCAAGCATGAGTGCTCACCCAGACAATGTGATGGACGCTGTAGACATCCGAGTCTCCCATGTAGACGCGAATGGCACGCAGTGTGAAGCCGTACTTCTTGCCAGAGCGTTGGATGGTGATGGGGGAGCGGAGCCCACTAACGGCCGGCGAGTAGTCCCGGCTGGGTGAGGAGTCCCGTGAGGATGGGTTAGAGGAGAGAGATCGTGGCGACATGGGGCTAGCCAGGGGTGAGCTTCCATGGGGCTCCACTGCAGACACAGAGCCATTGTCAGAGATCGGGGGCAACAAGACACATCTCTCCCTGTATCTGCTTTCTCCCAAGTCAAAGACCTGGGGTTCTCATTGGTCCATCCCAGAGCCAATCATTGTGGACAGGGGAAATACAGTGTTTTCATTGGCCTATCCTGGCACAAATGGAGACAGCCCCTCCCCTGATATGTGGAACTCGGGGTCACCTGCAGGAATCATGACGGACAAAGCAGTGGCAGAGGCCGACTTGATGACTTTGCCCCCAGTTCGGGAAGGTCTCTTCTCTACTGCAGGGTCTCCTGACAGCTGCTGGTGCCGCGCCCGGCGCAGAACCAGGTCATTTGTGGCCCTAGGGCCTGATGAGTCCCCATCCTTCGAGGGTGGACAGAGGTCACCTGGGCGTGGGCGGTCAGCTGCAACAGAACAGGTGGGTTAGGGGTCAGTCCAAGGCCAGGACTTCTGCATGCCGTTCCCTCTGCCCAAAGTGCTCTTCCCGCTTCTCTCTCTTACTTGTGAGTTTCATGAAAGCAGGTAACATATCCATTTAGCACAGCTCCTGATACAGAGAAGTGCTCAAATAGGTTTGTTGACTGAGAATGGAACACGAGGTGTTCCCCATATTGATGAGAATCCCAGGTTAGAGTGTGAAGAATGGGTGAGATCTTGCACAAACAGCACCACGCCCATTGAATGCTCCATATATGGTCACTGGGGAATTGGGGAGGGCAGCGGAAGGGGGCACTCACTGGCCTCGGGGTCCCCAGCGCTGGGGGTGCCATCCCCTTGAGCTGCCTCTTTGGGGGCCCGCGCTTCCAGCGAGACTGGGGGGTCGGAGCTGGGCCGGGGAGGCCTGCGCAACCGGGCCTCATCCTCGTCCTCTTGAGGGGCGCTGAAGCGGCTGGGCTCTAGCAGCGCAGAGAAACGGCGGCGCGCGCCCAGTGGGGGACTGGCCTCGCCTTCCAGGAAGCTGGCCTCCGAAGCAGAGAAACGCTTGCTGCTGGAAGGGGTGGAGGGTCAGAGGAGACACGCCCCTTGGGGCCCCGCCCCCAGACCCGTTCTTGTCCCTGCTTACATCTCCGGGGAGCCCCCTCTCCAGGTCTTCTCGCGCAGGGTCAGGCCTCCCAGGCCCTCCCGCTTGCCGGCCGCCTTGTCCTCTGGGCCCTTAGCGCTGGGCTCCCGCTTGCCGGGCCCCGCTGCCGCCACGGGGGTCTTGGGCTCGTGCTGCGACAGTTGCTCCATACTGCTGTACACCTGAAAGGGCGGGCGCGTGGTGGTGGGAGGCAAGCCCGGCTCCAGGTCCCGCCTTCGCTCTCGGACCAATCCGCTTCCCGCTCCTGGACCCGCCCGAACTACGCTCCACCTTCCCACGGCCGGGCTCCGCCCAATTCTGGGAAGTACCCCAACCACCTACAATTCTTCAACTCAGGCCCCACTCCGGTTAGGCCCTGCCCGGCCCATGCCCTCAAGAATATGCTCTCCTGCTTGCCCCCCCCTTCCCCAGGCTTCACCCAGCGAAGTCTACTCTCGCCCAGGCTAGGCCTGCACCCCCTTACACGCTGCTCTCAAAGCGAGATCGTGCTCAGCCTTGCCCCGGTCCCCACTGCTCATTCTCTCCGGCCCCAGGTCCTGACCCCGCCCCATTCAGAACTAGCCCGGCCCCACCGTGGGCCTCTTTCGGTTCCCGTTAGATTCTACTGGAGGCCACAGGGCAGTCCCAAGACCCCCATGCTGCCTCCACGGAAAGCCTTGTCACTCCCGGAGCTCTTAGCCCCCCAGTAGCTTCCCCGGCTCGAGACCTGGGGCCCCCGGCCCCTGCGGGCCTCACCCACCCCCAGCCCACCTTGCTGAAGCGCGGCGAGCAGGACGAGAACTGGCGAATTTCGACGGGCTCCTCTTCCGTGGTGTCATCCTCATCATAGGAGTTCACGTGATGATACCTGTCTGAGCGGGCTGAGGATTGGGGGGTGGGCCATAACCGCAGGCAAGGGTCCACTCCTCAGATCCCACCCCCCGCGGGAACGGGCCTGCGGGGCCCCGCCCCTTTCTCGGCTCGGACTCAGGCCCCTCCCCCAAGTGGGTCCCAGCCCCACCCTCCGAGGCTCCAGAGAAGCCACACCTCCAGACGCCACCTTCAACCCCGACTCCGCCCCGGGCCAGCCCAGGCCCTGCCTCATTCCGGGTCCTAGCACGGCCCACTGGACCAGGCCCGGGAGCAGGCCCGACTTGAGAACTCCGCCCAGTCCAGGCTCCAGTCCTACCCCGGCCTCTTTTCTTACCCTCTTCTCAGGCTGAGCCCCGCCTCTACGCCAGGCCACGCCTCCCAGCAATCCCCACCCCCACCACAACCTCAGCCCCTCTCCTTCGGGAGGTCCTCTACCCAGCTGAGGTCCCAGCCCAGGCCCTCTCCCCGGATCCCGCCCCCTGTCCCTGCTCACTGTCTTTTTTTTTTTTTAATGTTTTATTTATTTCTAGGAGAGAGAGAGAGAGAGAGCGTGAGCAGGGGAGGGTCAGAGAGAGAGGGAGTCACAGATCTGAAACAGGCTCCAGGCTCTGAGCTGGCAGTCAGCACAGAGCCCGACGCGGGGCTCGAACCCACGAACCGCGAGATCATGACCCAAGCGAAAGTCGGATGCTTAACCGACTAAGCCACCCAGGCGCCCCCCTGCTCACTGTCGAAGTAGCTGGTGTCGTCCTCGGACTCCAGGTGCGGGATGAACTCGGCCTTCTGCCTCAGCAGTCCTGTCCAGTCCAGGTCTCGAAAGAAACTGTGCTGCTTCACCTCAAAGGCACCGCCTGGGAAGGGAGCACGGGGAGTAGGGAGGGAGGGAGTCCAGAGGGGCTGAAGGCCGGCCCAGCAGACAGCCCTGGGAGTCCTGCTCCCTGACCGTGGCCCCCAGCCCTCAGTTTCTCTGGAAAGCAGACCCCTCACCTGCCCCAAGCCGGACCAGGGGGTTGGTCTGCAGGAGGCTGGATATCAGGAGCTGGGCATCTGAGGGCAGAGCCTCGTCCCCCTCCGGCCACAGGATATCATCTGCAGAAAAGGCGGGGCTGGGGGTCGCTTCTGGAGTCTACAAGGTCTTGGGCTGGCCCCCCCCCCCGCCTGCCCACCCCGGAGGCACGCACCGCTGATGACCTGTCCAAAGAGTTCTTCGGGGGTGTCTCCAAAGAAGGGTACGCAGCCCACCAGGAACTCATAGAGAATGATGCCCATGGCCCACCAGTCCACCGGCTTGCCGTAGCCCTGGCGCAGGATGACCTCGGGTGCGATGTACTCTGGGGTCCCACACACCTGGGGGCAGGGCGTCAGCCTGCGCCCCGGCCGCAGGAGGGGCCTCGAGGGAGAGCCGAGCCCCCCACCAGGCCCTGGGCCCCGCAGTGCTGTCGGGTCACGCCACCCACGGTGACCCCCATGCCCGCACACACACCTGTTTGTCCAGGAATTCCCGGGCGTCCTTCTCAATGTGGCCTTCATACAGGTTGGTGGTGAGGCTCATGAGCCCCATCTTGGAGAGGCCAAAATCCGTGAGCTTGATGTGTCCCATAGAAGTGATGAGTAGGCTGCAGTGGGTGGGGGGAGGGGGGGTGGGGTCTCAGAGGTGAGGCCCGTGTCCACTCCTGGCCCTCCCACACCGGGGCTTCCCGAGGGGCAGGGAGGAAGCGATGGGAAAGGCCAAGCAAGGCTCACTTGTCAGGCTTGAGGTCGCGGTGCACGATGCCGTAGTTGTGCAAATATTCCAGCGCCAGCACCGTCTCGGCAAAGTACATGCGCGCCATCTCCACGGGCAGCGCCCCGATGTTCTTCAGCAGGGTGGCGCAGTCCCCGCCTGTAGGGGAAGGGGTTGGCCCGTGTGAGGAGGGAGGCACCCTCAGCCTAGAGCTGAGCCCTCAACGTGCACGGTAAGCACCAAGTCCTCCCCTCACAGGGCTCCCATTTCACAGCTAAGAAAGACTGAGGCTCAGAGAGGGGCCTGGCTGTCCCCGGATCACATGGGGGGGGTGCCCTCTACCAGGCTTCTCTCCTCCTCTTGAAGCCATCCTCCAAAGTTACTATGATCTCCTGGTTTCACACAGGAGGGGACTGAGACTCAGAGAGAGGTTGGGTTGTGCAAGGAGGTGATGGTGGAGGTGAGATCTGGTCAGGACAGACGCCTGGCTGCTTTTTTTCTTTTTTCTTTTGGAAGATTTTATTTTTAACTAATTTCTACACCCAACACGGGGCTCGAACTCCTGACCCTGAGATCAGAGGTCACATACTCTTCCAGCTGAGCCAGCCAGGCACCCCAAGCCTGCCTGCTTATTGACTGAATCTGGAAGCGTATGGCTCTTAATTTCCTGGAGTCTGAATCGTGAGGGTCTGGGGCCTTAAAATGTAGGTTCCTGGCCCCCGCCAGATTGACTGTACACAGCATTCGTATTTTGGTCTCCTAAGATCCATTCCTCCTTCGTCTTACAAAGGCCAGGTTTCTTCCAGGTGCAGCAGCTGGACCAATGTGGAGCCCAAGTTCTTCAGGGAGTCAGCCCTCAGCCTTTCCCTCCTATTTTCACAAAGACCTCCAAACTCACAGGATGTAAACTGGGATCTGGTGGATAGCCACTCTGCTCTCTCAGAACCTGTCTACAGGGAAGTTTACACATGGGAGCACTCAGTTAAGAGATGAAAAGACTCCTGATGCCATGGTTTGGGCACCCAGATACAGCCGTTCCTAAAGGTGGCATTTTTTTTAAATTACAAGTCAACAACTTCCTTCCTTCCTTCCTTCCTTCCTTCCTTCCTTCCTTCCTTCCTTCCTTCCTTCCTTCCTTCCTTCCTTCCTTCCTTCCTTCTTTCTTTCTTTCTTTCTTTCTTTCTTTCTTTCTTTCTTTCTTTCTTTCTTTCTTTCTTTCTTTCTTTCTTTCAGCTTGAACAAGATTTAGCTGGGTGTCAGAAGCTGACAAATCAGACTCCCTGAGGCTGGGTCCCAGGGATCTGCATTTGGCCACAACCCCAGTGAATCCGGACACACACTTGTGCTGAGAACCAAGCTGGACTGATGTTCAACCTAGACTTTGGGGCAGGACCACACTCAGGTGGCACATGACCTTAAACTTGTACAGTCAGCTCCATCTCCGTCTCCTTGGCTCTGCTCTCACTGCAGCAGCTACATGGAGAGTCTTAAAACATAAATCAGATCATGTGAGCTCTGCTTAAGACCTTGTAGCCGATGCCTATTGCACTTGCAAGAGAATCCAGTGCCATTTGGGCTCTGCAAGACCCTGCTGGCTCCTCTCCCTGTGGCTTGCGCACTTGACTCCACTTCACTGACCACCTCACTGCTCCTCCAAATCCAGACACCTTCTCACGTAAGAGACTCTGTGCTTGGGTTTCCTCTTCTAGGGCACAGTGCAGGCCTCAGAGAGGCTCTTGCGTCTTTGAGCCTTATGGTCCTTGATGCCATCCTCACTATACGAAATCACCTGGTCTCCTCTGTCATGTTTTGCTTGTTTATTGTCCATCTGCAAAGACCAGAATGTAACCTCCATGGGGGAGAGGTGTGTCTGTCTGGGTCCCCAATGTGCCACCAGCGCCTAGTGCAGCATGTGACATGAGGAAAATGAAGTGGGGACATCTGTTGGGTAAATGGATGGTTGACTAAGGCTTGGGGCCAGCACAGTGTAGCTCCATGAGACCATGTATGTGTCTAATAACCACGGTATGTGTGTTTCAGGCAATGGATAGATTAATATTTGGGTGAATATAAACAGGGATGGATGGAATAAACAGATAAAAAATACATTGGTGGTTGGGTGGACAGAGAGTAAATAGATGGGTGGATAAACGGATGGATAAATTGTGGAAGAACGGAAGGAGATAGCCAGTTAGGATAAGATGGTTGCTAGAATAGAGTTGTGGATGGATCAATAAAAATATAGATAGTAAATAGGTGGATGGATGATGGGTTAATAAATAGACACATAAGTATTGGTGTATGAATGAGTGTTGGATAAATGGTAGGTGAATAGATGGATGGGTGAATGAATGGCTAGATATATAAAAAGATGGATACATGAAAATACATGTGCAAGGCAAAGAGTGAACCCTAGTATGAATTAGGGACTTTGTTAATAGTCATGAATCCATATTGGTTCAGTTGCAACAAATGTGCCACAGGAGAGTAGAACATGTAAATCATAGAGGAAACTGTGAGGGAAGGGGTTTATGTGGGAACTCAGTGTACTTTCCAGTCAATTTTTCTGTAAAGCTAATATTCTCTAAAAAATGAACTCTATTAATTTTTTAAAATAGATATAATGGATATCAGATATATGGATAGACAAACAGATGGATAATAAAATGGGTGTATGAATGGGATGGATGGACGGATGGATAGATAGATGTATAGATGGATGGATGGATGGATAGATGGATGGATAGATTGGATGGATGGATGGATGGATGGATGGATGGATGGATGGATGGATGGATGGATGGATGGGTGGGTGGGCAGACGGATGGATGGATGGACGGACAGACAGATGGATGGATGGATAGATACATGGATAGATGAGTGGATGGATGGATGGACAGATGGACAGAGGGATGGACAGATGGATGGATGGATGGATGGGTGGATGGATGGATGGATAGATAAATGGATAGATGAGTGGATGGGTGGATGGATAGATGGATAGATGGACAGATGGACAGATTGGACAGATAGGTGGATGGATGGATGGATGGATGGATGGATGGATGGATGGATGGACACATAAATGGATAGATGAGTGGATGGATGGATGGATGGATAGATGGATGGGTAGTGGATGAAGAGATGGTACATGGATGCATGGATGGAAAACCTGATGGCTTAGCAAATGAAGAGAGGATAGATGGATGGATAGGTAACTGGATGGATGTACCTACACTAAATGAAATGAAAACAGATGGATAAACCACTAGATGGCTAGATATATATAAATAGATGAGATGGATAATCAATGGCTGGATAGCTAAATAGGTAGATAAACATACACGTGGATAGCCAATTAGGTAACAGAGTCTCAGCCACTGAGCAAGCGTGACCAGCGCGCATCCCCCCATCTTCCCTTCAGTCCCGTAGGCAGCCACACCTTCCACATATTCCATGACCATGCAGAGGTGGCGCCGGGTCTCGAAGGAGCAGAACATGCCGACCACAAACGGGTTCTCAGCGAAGGTGAGGATGTCCCGCTCCACGAAGGCCTGCTGGATCTGGTTACGCAAGATCAGGTTCTGCTTATTGATCTTCTTCATCGCGAAGCGCTGCCTGGTCTCGCGGTGCCGCACCAGGTAGACAGCGCTGCAGGGGGAGAGAGCGAGGACCGGCCATCACCTCCGAGACACCCGGCCTCCGCCACCCTCCCCCCGCCAGAGCCCCGGGTGGCTCACCCATAGGCCCCATTGCTTATGAGCTTGATGGTCTCGAAGTCATTCTCTCCAGGTGGTTTCTTAGCCTTGGTGGTGGCACTGCGACCCTGCAGGGGGAAAGTGGAGACCACCACCACCATCGTCATGTGACTGGAATCTTATGATTCCACTCTACACCGAGGAATCTGAGGCACAGGGAGGGGGGTGGATGGATCCTTCCTCAAGTGCCACAATGAAGGAGTAACAAAGTCAGGACTTGAACCCAATGCTGACTCTGAAGCCATATTCCTAATGTTTTTTTCCACTAGGAAAGAAGCCTATGAAATAATCACCTTCATATACAAAGAGCTTCCAGAAATCAATAACAAACAACCCACCCATGGAAGAGAAAATACAGACAAGATATGCAAACTACAATTAGAGCTCTTAACCATATGAAAAGATGCTGAACCTCACATATAGTGGCAGAGGGCAAATTATAACTACCCCAAGGTACAATTTTTCACCTAGCAGATTGGCCAAAAAAAAAAAAAAAATCCAAACGGCTGACACGTTCTGGGTAAAGCTGTGGAGGAACAGGTACTTTTATACCTTCCTACTGGGTGTGTAAAATGGTACAGCCTCCACGGAAGGTACTCTGACATAAAAGAATTGTAAATGCATGTTCCCTTTGATCCAGTAATTTCATTTTTGAATTATTGCTACAGACACGCATGTGAAAAATCACATATGTATTATCTCGCTCATTGCAAGACTGGAAACAACCTGTATGTTTGCCTTTAGGAAACTGGTTAAATAAACACATGAGAGGCATCTGTGTAGAGGAATGCAGGGCCACTGTTGAAAAGAATGAGGAATCTTGGGGCGCCTGGGTGGCTCAGTCGGTTGGGTGTCCGACTTCGGCTCAGGTCATGATCTCATGGTTCATGGGTTCAAGCCCTACGTCGGGCTCTATGCTGACAGCTCAGAGCCTGCTTCAGATTCTGTGTTTCCCTCTCTCTCTGCCCCTCCCCACATGTGTGCTCTCTCTCTCTCTCAAAAATAAATAAACATTAAAAATTAAAAAAAAAAAAGAATGAGGAATCTCTCACTACACTGATTAAGTACTTTATTAAGTGGGGGGAAAATCAAGAAACCATATGTACTGTATGCTTTCTGGCAAAACAGAGCTATCCAATCATATCTGGGGGGTGCTCAGTAATACATAAACTAATATTTGGGGGATATAGGTCAATGGGGGGGACAAGAGCGGGTGTAAGATATTTCACTGTACACCTTTTTTGAAAATTTTGTTTATTTTTCTTTTTTTTTTTTTTTTTTTTACAAATAGTTTATTGTCAAATTGTTTATTTTTCTTTGGGATAAAGAGATCTACCCCATACGCATTACACAGAAATGTGTGATAGGAAAATATTAAATTTGAATGCCCCTAAGAATGTAGCCTAAAAACATCTGACACAAAAATGGACAGAAGTGTAAGAAGAAATTGCCAAAAACAAGGATTTAACAAAGAAACTATTAGAGTAACTAGGCAAAAAAAAAAAAAAAAGAGAGAGAAAGCAAGAATAGGAAGTTGGAAGATCTGGATCACTCAATTAACAAGTCTGATTGAATGGAATAGGTAGAATCCTACAAACAACAATTAAGGATAAATATCTTTTTAGAGTTTTAGAGTTTTTTAAATTGTTTTAAAATGTTTTATTTATTTCTGAGAGAGAGAGAGAAACAGCGTGAGCATGGGAGGGTCAGAGGGAGAGGGAGACACAGAATCCGAAGCAGGCTCCAGGCTCTGAGCTAGCCGTCAGCACAGAGCCCGACACGGGGCTCAAACCCACAAACTGTGTGATCATGACCTGAGCCGAAGTCGGATGCTTAACTGACTGAGCCACCCAAGCGCCCCTAGAGTTATAGAGTTTTGAGTGATGTCATTCCATTACCTATTCAAAAAATTAAACAAATGGCATATATGGTGAGATTCTGTTCAATATATATATAAGGAAAGATGTATGTGTGTTATGTGTGTGAATTCGTAGACACAATTTAAAACAAAGATTACAAATTCAAATGCCTTTGGGGCCCAGGCAGGTGGGCGGGTGCCATGCATGACTGGGGGGGGAAGTACCCCATATCCTAAGACAGCTCCCACTTGGCGCCAGCTGGCTCCACCATGGTGTTACGAAAACTTCCAATTTGTCAAAAGAAGGTCCAAACCCAGGCTTTGAGTCAAAATCTTCTCATTTCTAGATTTTGCTTCAAATTTTTAAAAAACACTGCATAGTTGAGAGAAAGCGCGTGTGTGGCCAGCAGAGCAGTCAGCCCCCGGAGCGGCTGGCCTAGAGGGGGGATCACAGCAATTTTCACTACGTCAAAGCAGTTAACACAGAGAGACATCCAACCTACTCAGAACCCCGTGCGGGCTCCTCACAGTCCCCATAGGACTAGCAGTTCTGCACCTGGGTAAACACCCACAAGACCTGAAAGAGCTGTACGAACTGTTGTTCACGGCAGCACTTTGTACAGGAGTCAAAAGATGGGAACAACGCAGATGTCCATCAAGAGACAAAGCATAAACAAGTATGGAAGACACAATGGAATATTATGCAGCCATGAAAAGGGATGGAGCACTGATTCACGTTACGACATGGATGAACCTTGAAAACGTTATGCCAGACACAAAAGGCCACAGAGTAAAAGTAGGTTTATATGAAATATCCAGAAATGTATATGAAATATACATTTATGCCAACTAGGAAATTGACATGAAACATCTAGAATGGGCAGACCTATAGAGTTGGAACTCAGAGGTTGCCAAGGGCCAGGGGGAAGGGTGAGGGGGCAGTAATTGCTTAATGGGTACATGGTTCCCTTTGGGGGTAATGAAAACATTCCAGAACTAGATACAGGTGATGCCTCACATTAAAACCCACTGAATTGTTCATTTTAAAATGAATGGTCAAAATAGTACGTCTTACGTACCATGTGTACATGGTGTGTATTATGTGTATGTGAAAAAAGGCCCATGGAGGAAAGGCTATTATTAATCCATCTCACAGAGGGGCAAACTGAGGCTCGGACCGGGGGACCAAGAGATCCACCCGGCCTGAGGGCAGAGAGCCTGGGGACGAGCCCTGTCCTCTCCTGCCGGAACAGCTGGCCCTCCTGGCCTTACCTCCGAGAGGTCATCCTGCTCTGGTGTATTAGAGCCACCGCTGTCCTGTTCCTCCAGATGCACCACGTCTAGGGAGGGACTGAGTGTGAGCGGGGGCTGGGGTCCGGTGGCTTCACCCCAGCCCCCTGCGCCCACCAGCCAGCACCTGGAAAGGGGTCACGGGTGAGGCCCAGCTGCCGGATAATGTAGCGGGGGATGTCAGTCTTGACCAGGTGGCCTTCCTTGGCGTGGCCCTCCGCCGCCTCCAGCAAGTGGTAGAACTCCTCGGGGTTGAATTCCTGAGGCAGGGCGGCAGCAGGCTCAGGGTGGGCTCCAGCCCTCCCCCTCCCACTCTCCCCCCCCACATCCCCCCACCCATGCCCGGTCCCCTCACCAGGCACTCCAGCAGCCTCGCGGGGCGCGAGATGATAATGAGCAGCTTCTTGACCAGCTGAGTGACGAAGGCTACCTCCATGCTCTCCGAGCGTTCATAGGCCTGGGGCAGCGGGGACAGCGGGGGTGGGGTTCGCAGGCACCCTGCTGCAGCCAGGCGCCTCTCCCAACCCCACTGGGTACACACTGTGCTGTTGTCCCATTTTACGGGTGAGAAAACTGAGGCTTGGGCCACACGGTAAAAAGAATGACGATGATGGTAGCCAGTGCTGTTCTCAAACCTTTTCTCATTCAATTCATCTTCAAAACAGCCTATTTTCCAGGCCAAGTTAGAATCCCTCTGCTGGGCGTGCTCTCCCCTCTGGACCCTGCGTGGCTACCTACTTCTGCTCCTTCAGGCCTCTGCTCCATGGTCACCTCCTCACAGAGGTCTCCTCTGATCCCAATCTAAAATCGCACCCCACCTCTCAGCTGCGCTCTCAATCATCATAAATGACTGTACTCTGCTTTTCCTGCTTTCTATCCTATGAATCCCTTTCTTTTTTTTTTTTTTTAATATTTTGTTTATTTCTAGGAGAGAGAGAGAGACAGCGTGAGCAGGGGAGGGTCAGAGAGAGAGGGAGTCACAGACTGAAACAGGCTCCAGGCTCTGAGCTGGCAGTCAGCACAGAGCCTGACACGGGGCTCGAACCCACGAACTGCGAGATCATGACCTAAGCGAAAGTCAAACGCTTAACCGACTAAGCCACCCAGGTGCCCCTAAGATAACTAATATTTTAATGCAGTATTTGCAAAAAGCATGCAAAAAAAATCCATGGTAAGCAAAATGACAAAATTTATTTTGCGAGGACACGACCCAGTAGGGCTGTCCAGAGCCATCGTGGGGCTTGAAGCAAAAGGGAGAAAGTGTGTGGCAATCTTTCTATGTTTGTCCAGCGATTAACAGCTTTAATGAAAACATTATGATTAAAACCAGAAAAGTAAAATTCTAACAAATTCTGGTTTGATTATAAATAAAATACTCAAAATCATGTTAAGTTTTACTATGCCCACTTTTCAATTTTGCCAATAATTACTTGACTATCCTGATGGGAAAAAAGATGAACTACTCGCCTCACCCAGTCCCAGCCCTGAAGCTTTTTATTCATCTTCTGACTCTCCTTATTAGAATGTCAGCTTCCTGAGGGCAGGAACTTTTGTTTGTTTTATTTCCAGGGAATTCTCCAGCTTCTAGGCCAGTGGGAGGCCCGGAATAGGTGCTTAATAAATGTTTGTGGAATTAATGAACGAGCAAAAATTCCCTTTTTATAGCAGGACTGAGGCACAGAGAGGTTAAGGGACTTGGTAAAGGTTCCACGGTAAGTGGTGAGCTGGATGCGAATCCAGGCTGTTTGGAGTCTATGCTCTCAACTCCTAGGAACCCAGTGGCAGAATCCAGACGCAAACCAGATCTGATGATGACGCCCATAATGATGCCAGTGTACTGCCCTTCGGGCCTGAGTGGGAGCCTGGAGCCTGAACCCCCATATTCTGGTCTTTATGCCTTTATCCAGCTTCATTCCCTCAAGACAGTACAGTCAGTTGGCTTCTGTGCTCCTAGAATTTCTCAGACTGCCTTCTCACCTCAGGGCCTTTGCATGTGCTCAGCACACATTCCCCCCAGGCATATGAGAACATAACTGTCACTGCCTCATTATTCTTGTACCAATTTCAATGTCACCTCCTCTGGGGAGGCCTTCCGGACCTAACAAGGGAATCCCTGACACTGCATCTGATTGCCCCGTTCTATTTGCTTCATAGCCCTAAGCATCAGGTGAAATCACAAAATTCCTTGATCTGTCTGTTTCCATGTTTCCTGGATAATTAGAATATCAGCCCCAAGAGGGCAGGAATATTTCTCTAGTTTGTTCACTGTTGGGTTCCCACTGCTCCCGCACACAGTAGTTGCTTAATAAATACTACTGACGATCATTGAGTTCAATGGGGGTATCATCTTGTTTACTTTCATTCATTCAGCCCCGGAACCAAAATTTGTTGATCACCTGCTGTGTGCCGGACACCGCCAGGCACCAGGGAGGCAACAGTGAACAGACAACCTCATCATCCACTCTTGGATGACATTTGAGTAAGTGAGACAAGAAATAAGATAAACAGGGGCGCCCGGGGGGCTTAGTCGGTTAAGCGTCCGACTTTCGCTCAGGTCATGATCTCGCGGTTCGTGGGTTCGAGCCCCGCGTCGGGCTCTGTGCTGACTGCCAGCTCAGAGCCTGGAGCCTGTTTCAGAGTCTGTGACTCCCTCTCTCTCTG